GAATGAACATGGGAAGCCTCCATTGGAAGTGATAACTCAAAGGCCCTATTGAAACTTAGGGGCATTAATTAAATGGCATGAGTTTTCAATAACACCAACATAGTTACAGTTGTTTTGCTATTGTCACCTGTTGTGCTAATATACTTCATGGATTGTGTGAATCGCCTCATTAGATTTGCTAATGATAAAAGTGTAAACGCAGTATACAAGTTGGAAAATTAACACTGCAGCCGGAAGTTTGTGACTACATAATAGAAAGTAAACATTCCCATAGCAGAGGTCCAAATCATAACAGCAAAGAAGAAGTTTCATAACAGTAACTAATAGGAAAAAGAAAGGTCACAGGAATTTCACTGAAAAAGTTCACTTATATAGCGCAGGATTCTTATTAATAAGAAGCTCATAACAAGTTTTTCTTTTAAAGTTCATAACAGAAAAATAAAAATTCAAAAAGGAAATTACCAATCAGTAAAAAAGCTCCTAACTGAATCAACAACTTGAACAAAATTCTAATAAACTTTTCCTTCTCGATCATTCTAGCTTCACTCTATAAAGCCTTCCTCTATTCATATCTTCATTCCTTGAGGGCTGCACTTCACTCTTCTCGCCATCTTCACCCTCTTCCTAACAAACTTTCACCATCCAAACTCCTGCAAATTCCCATTCATCTTCACAAATCAACACCAGATTATCTTCAATCTTCACTCATTATGTGAGCCTCTGCATCAACCATCAATCTGCAACAACTCACACGCAAATAAAAGAAACAGAATACGAACCACACACTAACAATGGAAACGCGCAGAAGAAAACATTGAACCAGTAGAGTGTAGCAGAGTCAGAGAAGGAGAAGAAAATGCGGATTCGACAACGTAACAAATTTGAAAGAGCCAATTGAAGAACCGTACTTGGGGCATCGCGTGTCTTCGTCTTCATTTCGCAGGTACCATTTCATTTCAAATCTTACTCTTGAGATGTATATAGTTGTGCTTGGAACCAAACTCCATGGTTGAAGCTTCGGTTCACCGCGATAAGTCGTTCAATCGCGGTTGATCTGATAGGTCGCGCAATGTTCTCTTTTTTTGCGATTGGTAATCGGAGAAGATGAGTAGGAAGAGGAGACGATCAAATTGATGATGTTGCGTGAGCATCGCCGGCGTGAGAGTTTTGGTGCGGGAAGGTCTCCGTTGTAGATTTAGCGAGAAAGAGGATGAGAAGAGAGCTGGTTGAGTGTTTGAAGCCACGACGCAGAATAAAGGAGAAGTCAGTGTGGTAGGGATCATGTTTGATAGGGTTTTTTCTGCATGTTGTTCTATTGTCTGACCCGTGAGTTTGGATTAGGCCTCACCCCCATATAACTTCTATTCGCACCACTAATTCACTATTACACCCCTAGTTAATTAGATTTTGAATGTTAGTTACCTTTTTATTTTAATTGGATTTTTTTGATTATTTAGGATTTTATTTTTTTATTAGGAATTAATATTGAATTGATCTTGTTTTTTTAATTAGAAGTTAATCTTGAATTAAAATATATATTAGGAGTTAATTGTAAATTGACCTTTAATTTTAGTTAATTGTTGATTAGTTTTTGTTTTTAATGTTAGTTAATTGTTGACTAACTTTGATAAATTTTGTTCTTGACTTTTATTAAAATTTTGATTGAATTTTGTTCTTAATGTTGATCTTAGTTTTGATTAGACTTTGATTAGGTTTTGATAAATTATGATTAATTCTTGATTAATGGTTGATCTTGATTCTTTATACACGTTGTGGTGATTTCTTTCCTTCTGGATTATTTGTCAAACCTTTTTTCAGAAAGAGCGTGTTTTTTCCGTTCCACCATAAACAGGACTCTAACTGTTGGGACGCGAACTTAGTATTCCTCATAAAAGCACTTAACAATGGGTCACACAAACTATGGACGCTCCGACTTCCTCATTCTCGTCTGAATTATGATACGTAGGCACAAGACGGCGAAGTCTTGATGAGCAACTTTTCCCCCATCACTCGTAGTCTTCCGAACTAAGTTGACTTTGACTTTTCCATTGCACGAGGAAATACGTAGGCCTAGGACGGCGAAGTCCTATCGAGTCTCCTTTTGTTTCTTCTCCCTTTTTGTTTCCATTAGCAAATAGGCTTTAGACAAAGACACCCTTTGATTAAAACAACAAGCGCGGATCCCGTTGAGTACAACGGACGCGAGGGGGTGCTAATATATTTCTCTCGTGTAATCGACTTCCGAACCCAGGATTTGGTTGTAAGACCATGTCTTCTCTTTTTTTAGGTTTTCTTTGATCGTTTCGTTTCCCTCGTCGAGATAAATAACGTTCGACGACGACTTTGTTTTTCGCCGGTTGTTTTTCGCATATGCGACACCACTGTCATTTGCTGCATATGTATCAAATTGTACGAAGATTACATCATTGATAATAATACATACAAAAAACGAGTCACCATCTAAAAACATTGTTAGATAACAACTAAAAAGTATCAAAATATGCGTCACCACCTAAATCTATTTCCATGGGTGATGCCACATTTGACTTTTCCTTATTTGATTGTCTTTCAATCTTGCTCAACATGGTGAACTCTTCCATCATTTCTAGAAAGTGATTCGCCCAAGTTTCAGCCTCTTTGGTGAAATGTGTCGTCCACTCGAGTGATGTATTTGATATATGATACCCCAATTTCAAATAAGTTTGAACAAAATGTAGTGATTTTGAAAGCCACCTAATACACATAATGCATTCGAATGGATTTTGAGGTAGGCTACTCTAAAGTAGAAAAGATGTTTCCGAGAAACTATATCTTGTCAAATTAATACACACTCTATTATATGCATTTTCTATAAGATGACCAATTTCAGGAAAACGTATCCAATTTTCCACCAGTGTCAGACCGCTAACAACATAACACAAGAAATAAGAGCATTATGGATTGCATCAAAATGTTTTTTTCCCTATATATCGATGTGTATGATTTGCTATGCGCCTTCAACTTTTTGATAAGTTGTTAGCACAAAAGTGTGTGGTTCTCCTCTCCTTTACGGAGAAAAACCGAAACAACTCGATAGCCGCAATTAGCATCACCTTTAACATCTACAATCCGCACAATATAGTTGCATAAAAGCGACATCTTTTCAATGTGGATGATTTTGTGAAACTGTGGTGAGGGAGATGGTTTTCTAATTCAAGCACCTTTGCAAACACTTTTTTTTTAATTTAGGAGTTGGAGAATATGGAAAATGTGTGTCAACATGTTCAAATTAGGAAGGATATTGTTTTTTAGTATATTGACTTTATGTCTGTTTGACCTTTTTATGAACACCTTTTATTTTAAATGGTTTTAAGGGTTGTTTCAAGTTTGTGGTTTTTGGATAAAGAATCTTTCTTAGATGTTATTTGATGTGCAATTTCATATTGTCACCAGCTTTCATAAATCTCTCTTGAATAACTTTCCACTCGGTCATGATAGATACATTTAATTTATAATCACACAATTATCATCAAACTGAAGTATTTTCCAATATATATATATATATATATATATATATATATATATATATATATATATATATATATATATATATATATATATATATATATATATATATATATATATATATATATATATATATATATATATATATATCGATTTAGCAACCTTAATTTTCTTTGCAATTAAACAAGCACGTAGAGGATTGTGCGTCTTCCTAAGTGTACAACCATACTTTGAGCTATTTGATCCTGTTTTCTATGCTCTCTTAGCTTCATGATAAATAAAACTCAATCCCACTAAGATATGTTGCCAACCAACTTTGAATAAAGAATGTTGTCTTTGAATCAATATTCCAATACAGTAATATCCCGATCAAAAGATGTTTGTATCTCATTATTTTAATTTCGAATAATTTGATTCACAAAGTCCTAACCTCTACGAAAATCACCTTGACTGTTTCCCGACCAATTTTTCACTATAGCATGTACAAATTCAACTATATTAGTTGTTGTATTTCTAAAGTGTCTAACTTGATCGATCCAAACACAAATAATCTTTTCATTCACCTGGTTCATAATTGTACTCTCAACATATTGCAGGAAATCTAAATATCTCGCACACCCTCTTGAAATGTATTGCAAATTCTGCATATAACTCTTCTGCGAAAAAATTTATTATATCATTCTAGGCATCTATTATGCTTTCCAATACCACACTAGCTTTGAGCATTTTTCCATTTTCACCTTTGATTTGTTTGGTCCCTAATGCAGGTTTAAGTCTATTTCTCACATTTTTGGTTATGTGATACCTACAAAGTAATACATAGGATGCAGGGAACACCTTTACAACCGAATTCATGAGTGTGGTATCACGGTTGATTACAATGACCTTTAACGTATTTTCTTGGTCCTTTAACATAGTCTTGCACACTTTCAAAACCCATGTAACATTTTTTCTCTTTTTCACTTTTTAAAAATACAAAATCTACTATAAAAATCATCTCCGTCAAAGTAACATCAACAATTTCCAAAAATGAAAGCCTATACATATTGGTCTTGTATGTTGAATCAATTATAAACTCAGTAAAAAATGTGTTGAACAACATGATGGAGTCTTGGAGATATCTTAAATTTGAGTTTTTTTTACTCTTTTTGATGTAATTAAATATAAGAGAAAATGTCATTTTTATTCAAGTTCTCATTATCAAGAATTGAGAGTATTAAAAATAGTAATGATTAAAATATAAAATTAAAAAAATTCATTTACATTATAAATTGAAATAACTCATTCATTTTAAAACATTATTTTATTTTAAATAGATGACTGAGAAAAATGATTTTTTTTCCCTTAAAATCTCAAACAAACCGGTAAGAACATAATTCCATTTTTCTTTGTTGAATTGAAGTACACTGTTTCAAAGGAGAAGGTTGAATAAAACCGCGAGTGCGTAAGGAATAAGCAGAGCTCTTGAAATTGAAGGAGTTTGAATTCAAACACCAATGTCAAATGTTGATTTTGAACCCCAAATCCAACACCACCCACGCATCTTCTTCCCCAACCTCCTCTCCCCTCACGAATGCACAGTTTGTTCCTTTTCTCCTTTCCATTACTACTCCTATCTTTATGCTATGCACCATTTTCAATTCTAACTGTTTTTTTTGTTGAAGGAGTTGGAATTCATTCACAAGTGTAGCAGTACCGTTGGTTACAGACCAAATGTCTTCTCCACCACTCTTTCACATCTCATTGCCACCAACTCTTCGCAATTCATCATTCCTTTTATTCCAATCCGAGGTTGGTCACTAACCCTAACAATTTCAATTTTCAATTTTTAATTGTTTTCTAGAATACCGCTTTTATTTTGCAAATTTGATTACAGAAAGATTGAAAGATAAATTAGAAGAGTTTTTCAAATGTGAGTTTGAGCTTTTTATTGAATTCACCGGTTTAATCAGGTTGGTAAATGGTAACCTCATTCCATTGTTCAATTTATGTAAATAATTTGACTTTATTTTAGTTTTTGTTATCAAAATAGATTATACATAAGCGCTTATATGATAAAGTTTATGCTATAAGCGATTAATTAAGATGTTTTTACCATCTTATTTAATGATGCTCTATCTCGTATTATAACATGAATGAGTCAGTTGGAGTAGAGGAGCGAGCATTGGATGGCATAGTGATGATAATAGGCCTTACCTTAAACAACGGCACTTTTCGGTCAGTGTTACTCAGTTCAACTCTCTTTATACGTTGAATTTCTGTTATGTTACACTTTCTTTCTGATACTCGGCTTTTGTTCTCTTTCTGGTAATACCATGAAAGGTAGTTTGTTATTTGAATACATATGGAAAGGATTTCAATGGTGGACTATTTCATTTTCAAGATGGTGAACCGGCAACAATTATTCCCACTGCTGGAGTGAGTTTTCCCTATTGAATTTATCCCTTTTTCAATCAAACTTAATCCAATGTTAGCATTCTTATGATGGTGGATTATGTTTTGTAAATTTCAGTAGTGAGTTATATAATGTGTTCAGCTATATTTCGAATTAGGAAATTGACAGTTTTTCACTGTTCTTATCATTTTGAGCTTGTGAATGATTGATTTTCTAGTTTATTTTCTTTCTCAGGATGTTGTGATGTACACGGCTGACGACCGGAATATTCATTCTGTTGATGAGGTATCATCAGATGCATCCCTTTCTTGTACCTATTTATTTGGTGGTCGTACACATCATTGGCATTACCATTTTAACATTGTAAATTAGATGCTTATATTTTTTCTTACTCCCTAACTCCTTAGTCATTCAGCATCTTATATATTCAACTTACCATTTCTTTCATCTGTCTATACCTCAATCAAAAGTTGATGACGTGCCAATAATTCATTTCCCCAATGTAACGAGTTATCTTATTCGCCGATGATAAACCTTAACCATAAACAGTATAACCATTATTATAAAAAAATTCTCCTGCCACGGATATGAATGTAGATTACTCTTTCTGCAAGAAATTGATGGGTGATATCATTATCTTATTATTTACTCCCTCCATCCCACATGGAGTGACCCATTTGACCATTTCACATAGATTAAGAAAAAAGAATAAATGAAAGAGAAACAATAATATTTTTACTAAAATATCCCTTATCAAGTATTGAGAATGATGAAAATAGTAGTACTAATTAGAGGGTAGAATTGAAAAAAGTGCATTGGAAATTAAAAAGAGTCATTCATTTTGTATTATTTTTATTTTACAAAATGGGCCACGCATTGTGGGAAGGAGGGACTATGTTTTTCATCACTGTGAGTGCTGCTATCAATACAAAACAAGTAGAAAGCTTATATGATTCTTATTCAAAAAATATGTAAGCACAAAAATTGAGGTCGGCATTGTATCCTCCTTAATTTTTCATTTGGAGTAATATCTTTTGGCAGGATTAAATTGATGTGACATCATCCGGATGCTAGTTCATTCTTCAATAAATATATGACCATCTTTAATCTTTCTGATATGAAGTTATCTCTTGGACAGATAACTGATGGGGAAAGACTCACACTTGCTTTATGGTTCAGCCGTGATGGTTCCTCTGATGAAGATACGAAGCTTGTTTCGCTTCTTTCACAACACCTATTATATCAGAACATGGCTAGTCCATTACTACCTTTGCCTGCATCAAGTAATATGTACTGGTTTTCTCAGGACCAAGCTTCGAATGATAAGTTTGGTTTTAATATTTGTTGGGCCCGACTGCACGTTCTCGGATATGACATATATTTTTCCCAAGACACCAGCTGTGACTCTGATGTATCTGAATTGATGGTAAAGCCAGTGCACTTGGTGAGAGGAGCTGAGTTGCTAGACCACAAATTTGCCAATATTTTGCACGCGCTTCAGGTAATTTTAGGAATCCTTAGTTACATTATCTGTTAATATTTAGAGATCAAGTGTGTGGTATTTCTCTTATTAGCGGTTTTCGGTTACAGGTTGTCCAATTTTTCTGTTGGAAAGAATCTGACTTACAGACCAACATGTCAAATATAGATTGCAAGGTCGTAAAACTGTCAGATGCGCAAAGAGAGAAAATCAATGGTCTTATAAATGATGTTGATCTGGCATCCAGAATTTTCTTTAGAAGGCCTTCCCATTCAAAAGAAAATGGATCTGTTTTCTCTAATTGGACCGGAATCATGGCTGCTATTGCTGCTTGGGAAGATTATGTATTGAAGTTAAACAAGCAAATTCATTTGCAGCTGCCTTACTGGAGAATGCAAGAATCTTTATATAATGTACAATTGGACGCGTAGTATTTTTATCAACAGGCAACTTCATTTTTGAAGGTTTGCTTCGATAAACATTATTCAAGTCAAGGTGTTTAGGTGAGATTTAGGACCATGCCGCTTCGGGAAGAAATGAGGAGTGCAACTCAAGATTTTCCCAAGATTTATCATGAATTTAATAAAACAAATACTATAAAATACTGCATGTCTTTGTTTCACCTCCACTCAGCAAAGAGTTAAATACCCTAGAATGTAAGCAAGCAACAGAAGCTTGAATTTCAGAACAGTGATGAAGTTGATGTTAATTTGCAAGATTTGCTTGCCTCTCTGTCAATTATGTGCTCCAAACAATGTCAATTATGTGCTCCCAACAGTGTTTGACTGGACCGATAGTAAAGAAACTGTAAATTTTCATGTATAAACTAAAACAATAACAAGAATGTTCAAGTATTACTATGGTTTGAGCTGGTTTATTAGTTCAAAACTTGGTTTTTTTCCTAGTTGTATCATGCATTTTCTTTAATGAATACTTATGAGAGACCAATGCATGTATCTTTTGAATCATTTTCATTGTCACGGCAATAACATTTGGAATCTTAAACTTTATCTTATGTATATGATGATGACAATGGAGCAAGCAAATGCTGTTTGAATGGTATATGACCCTGCATAAACACTTCCATTTTGCCTTGGATTGACCAAAGCAGAATCAGCATTCTGCTGAAACATTTTGACGAGTGATGATGGTATATAACCCTGCATAAACTTCCATTTTGCCTTGGATCGACCAAAACCGCATTTGCCTTTGTTTATGCAAACGACAAAAGCTTGAATTTCAGAGCAGTGATGATGTTGTTGTTAACCATTTACAAGTTTGTTATGCTTACCTCTCTGTCATTTACGTGCTCCAAGCAACCATCATGTCCATTGATATTTGATGCGTGCATGGACAGCATTTGTCTGGACCAATAGTAAAGAAACTGATTAGAAATTGTAAATTTTCATGTATAACTTCAACAACAATAAGAGTATTAAAGTTTTTCTATGGTTTGAGCTATTTTTTAGTTCAAAACTTTGTTTTCCAGTTAAACCATGCATCATCTTTAACAAATTCCATAGAGACATCATTTTCATTGTCATGACAAAAACATTTAAACACAGAAATTTTAGACTATCTTATGAATGATGATGACAATAGAGCAAGCAGATGTTGATTCATTTATCTTTAAGATGGGAAGAAACAGCTCCTCAAGCTCTTGGCTATTAACACAATGGCCATCTGCTGATGACCCATTTTGCAATCTAAGCTGAATCAACAATTTGCAGAAACATTATAGAGGGAATTTCTATAATATATATAGGGTTAAATATGTTATAGTTCTTTATAAATATTCCAAGATCTAGTTTTAGTCTTCAGAACATTTTTGTTTAAAGAATCGTCACTTTAAAGTTTTCCGTCTCTATTTTTTTTTTGTCTCTGCCGTCTATTCCACTTAACGAAATCCTACGTGAACGCTGATTTGGATTTTTTTTTTAATTAATTGGACAAGTAGTGATTACCACATGTGTAAATGGATTACAGGTCAACAGATTGTTCTTGCCATAGCTTTGTGTAATTAGAATTGTAACCTAATGCCTTTTCGTTTTAATCCTCTTTCCATTTCCCCTTTTAACTAGGGGTGGAAAAACGGGTCCGGCCCGTTGGGCATGCGTTTTACCCGCACTTTAATGCGGGGCAGGTCAAGGTTTTAGTCCCTCACCCTCTAATGTGTTCGCCCTGCCCCTCCCCGTTTTCTTCTCAAGCTTTTGCGGACACAAGGATTTACATAATCTTTTGCATTTTTAGGCTTAAAAGTTGCAGTGCTCGCGGGCTTTCTCCGCCCTGCACTCACTTTTTTGCGTGGCGGACCTAGGTTTTAGGCCCGCATCTTCAAATATGACCACCCCGCCCCGTCCCATTTTTTTGCGGGCTTTTGCGGGACGGAGATAAACGGGGTGTGTATGCACGTTTTTCACCCCCACTTTTAACTTTGTGACGCTTTTCTTCTTCTTCGTCTGTGATCTAATTGTAGACAAACCTTCATCGTCAAAGAAAGATTGATGTCATATTCGAGAACAAGTGCTACGAAACTCATGAGCATTTCTTTTTCCTCTGTGAGATGTCGTCGAGGAAGGAATTGCGATTGTGAAGCTCGTATGGTTTCATACATTTACAAGAATGGTCGCAATAAAGACAGGCTTTTCTGGAAATGTTCATTTTGGCAGAGTGAAGAAACTTGTAATTTATTCATATGGGATGAAAATTTGCCCGAAGAAGATGCTAATGGTGTTAAACGGGTAGAAAACTATAAGCTGAAGGAATTGGAGACAGTTGAACTGCTGAGGGAGTTGTACGAAGGTTTCAAGAAGAAGAACATGAAGCTGCAAGCGAAATTGAGATCAGAGGTATGGGCTGGAAAAATCAAGCTTTTCTGTTTTATAGTTTCTTTTATGATTAATGTTTATTTAATAATGAAATGTAATAGTTGAAGTAAGGTTGTTTGATCAATGTAATGAATATGTTTCTAATGGAATTGTGTTTTTAAAATTTGGTACAATGTAATTATGTTTGATCAATGTAATAGAATTGTTTTTTATCATTGTGTTTCTAAAATTTGGTCCAATGTAATTGTGTTTATCAATGTAATGAATGTGTTTCAAATTGTTTCTAATGTAATTGTGTTTGATGAATGTAATGAATATGTTTCAAACTGCTTCTAATGAAATTGTGTTAGATCAATGTAATGGAGTCGTGTTTTATCACTGTGATTAATGACTAAATTTTGACATAGTCACTTCTAAATTTTGACATACTTTGCCTCAATTTTGGCATACTATGGCCTACAACATTGGCATATTGACAAACAATCTGACATCAAACTGACATGAAATAGATTAATTAAAATAGCATTCCCAAAATGATCCAATATATGGTCTTAGATTATAGCCTAAACAAAATTACAAGTCAATGCTCATAGATTACAGAATAACCCTAAAACAGAGTAATTCAAAGTCTTCAAAATACACTTATGGATACAACTTAAAGTTTGCAAAATAGAAGTCACTGCTAAGAGATACAACATAAAAGTCAAAGTCTTCAAATTCCATCCTCATTGAGTCAAACCTTTTTGAATTTCATCCCAACTTTTTCTACCCCTCTTGATTGGTTATTTTGAGGTATCCTCTTTAGTGAGTACAACTGGATCTTCAGGGTGTCTTCCCAGCCCCTTGAGTATAATAGTGTAATTACATTGCGATTTTTCCTTGCAAACCACCCTACATCTAACTGCATAATTTTTCCCAAATCTGACATTCCTCTCATTCAATACATTATGTTCCAAAATAGCACTCTTGAAATGCTTTAATGAAGAAAATTCCATTCCCACCTTTAACTTATATTCCTTTGTAATCTCATCTTCCTCATTGAACCTAACAACATTTGGTCTATCGTCACCATTGTCGTCTTTAGCATCACTATCAAGCTCATCAGTCATACACTCTTTTTTATTTACATGTTCCTTATCCATCTCTGGTGTAATAAAACTTTATTTTACTGTCTCACTTTAGCCTGCAACATCTGCAGCAGGTATGTTTGTGGGCTGACCACCAAAAGCCTCATCAAAATCATTCATCATTTCTTCTTTACTGTCTTAAATTTTGATGTCCTTCACTGACTCAGCACTAAAACCTTCATCAGTACATGAATCAACATAGTTTTCACCTATTATCCCATTGTTCATATTTCTTGCATTCTCCATAAATGTTGCATCCCCTATAGTTGGTTTACGCTCAATGTATATTTTAACATCACCTTTGCATTCTTGAACAAAGACAACTAGCTCGAATGCATCACCATCATCCCTAAATAGTTTTAGATCAATTTCTAAAGTACCATCACCATGTTTCCACCACATCCTAACATTATTGTATTCAAACGCAGGATCCATTCCCTTAATTAAATCACACGCCTAAAAAAAGGACCAACAATCACTATCCTGACCATTAAATGCATAAACTTCCTTACACTCATACTTTAACATTGGGTCTTTTACAAAATAACCCTTTGTGTAAAATACTACCTTAAAGACACTCATGCCTACGTGATGGGTGGAAAAGGACGGTAAAAGTGGACCCACAAAACACACTTGTATGCAGAAAACCCTATTAACTAAATACACTGCAAGTAAAAGACAAGCCCTAGACCAAACATTAATAAAAAGGAATGTAAAGTTAAAACACGTGGAGCTACCTCTGTAGTTCCAATGTCGAGGGACCACAATGCACCTTTCAAGCCAAGTCTGGGACCACAATGCCAAACACGATGAATAATGGGTGCAAATATCTGTAAACAACATAAAAATACACAATGTGTTACTGCTACTATGTTGAACAAACTGTAATAAATTAGCATTAGCTTGAAGAAGAAAGGGAAAAAATTGTAAGAACGAACCTCTGCTTGAAAACGAAAGAGTGAAAGTTTTGTTCTAGCCAAAAATGGTTAGATACACCAAAAGTGCTAACTCCCCTTGTTCTGGACAAGAAGAATTACGTTGTCTATATCTTGAGGGATATTTGGGAATTTGAGAGCTACACTTATATTGTGTATTGTCTCAAGATGAATGTGTCTTGCTTAACCCTCACGTGGGAGCCCCTTTTATAGTCTTCCATGAAGATATGCCATTAAGAGGAGTTTGTTGGCCTTTTGACGTTACATGGCCATCATTATTCTAACTCCCCTTAATGAATGTAAGCTTTGAAGCTCTGGTAACGTCTGCATTGATGCGCCACCATCGTTACAACTATTGGTATGACGATTGAGTTTATGTATGACATAAATATCGGGTTGATGGAGGTCAGTACTTGGTTTCATAGGAGTTTCGCTGATAGGAGTCGGGCTCCCTGACTAGCCCGGGTTATGGATGATACTTGCTTAGCTCTCCGCATTGCTCGACCTTTCTTGCTATCGCAATCTAGTTCATGGTTAACCTTGTCTGGCTACACAACCCTGGATTAAAATATATTTGGCATGTAGATAAGCCCCCCGAGTATTATATCTGTTTTACAAGGGTACATTACTCGGCAGTATCATGAGCCCGAATATATTTGGCGTCGTGCTATAGGTCGGCTTTTCTTCTTAGGTCCTTACGTGTCATGAATTCTTTGGAGGGCCGTGTCCTTTCATTTTTTCCAGTGTAATGATGATTGTTAATGGCTACTCGCTAGATATCCTTGGGTGTTGAGTCCCTTAAAAGCCTTTCTTTCCTCTTTTCTCATTTCGGCTATGCATCATCTTTTTCAACGATTAAACTCCTATTTCAATCACCATCTTCTTCGTTGCTCACAGGTATTTCCTTACCCTTCTTGGTTTATCTTATTCTTCTACTTGATTTTTAGAAAGAATGACCGTCTTTGGGGAACGGGGCAATGAGGGTAGTGACAGCGTCATTCGTATGAGTGTCGTGGAGAGAAAGGAGTTATAAGAGTAATGCATGCGAGAAATGGAAGATGCTTTAGGACCAGAAGAGTATAGACGGGTTATAAATGAAGTTTATAGTGATATTCTCACTTCTAAAAGGGATTTTGACCCTGACTCATCTTCCTCATGTTTTGTAAAGACTTCGATGACGACTGCTGCTCCCTTTGATCTCAAAGTCATGAACTATAAGAATAACATTTTTGACGATATAGAAATCGTAAAACTTCGATCAAAAAAGAAAAATATCTTCAACAGGATCCAAGGATGATGTTGTCTTAGAATCATGTATTCCCAGAGAACGAGTTTGTATACTTCATTCTAAAGGTGTCAAGGAAGATTTTTTCTATTTTTATGTTAGGGTTTTAGACGACTTCAACGTTCATATACCCTTTTCCAATTTTGAAGTAGATGTCTTACACACCGTGAACATAGCCCCTTCTCAACTTCGCCCCAATAGTTGGGTTCTTATAAAGGCCTTTGAAAGAGTTTTTGAGGTTTTAAACATCATCCCCACCATTGGCTTATTTTTCTCTTTCTTTGAGGTTAAGGGTGTTGACAACCGTAGTTGGGTACAAATCAGCAGGATTCTTGGCCGGAGTTTTCTCCAGGCATATACCTCCAACTATAAGAACAATAAGAGTAAAGAGTGGGCCGATTCTTAAGGGTAAAGAGTGGGCTGAGGTATCCACAAGTATTATATGCTTTAAATGGCCAGTATCGCTTCCCTTTTTATTGGGTTGAAAATACACTATCGATTACTGGCTTTAGTTTTGATAAATTAAGTGACCTGAAAACCCAGTCTCTAATAGTTCTCGACTCCTTCTATATGATGAAGGTCAAAGAATTGTCATCTCTAAGCGACGAACAACTACTCGCCTTTCTGGGTAATTGTTTAAACTTATTTTCATCATTCCCAATTACTCTTTTTCTAGACGTTCGCATATGTGTTTGTAGATACAATGACGAGCTTATCCATAGCTAAACAAAAGAAGTTAATGCAGGAAGCTCGAGCAGCCTGGAAGGGAGTCGGGAACTCTACATTGTCGAAGTCAGACCCGAGCGGGCTAGAGGTCCGTCAACCAAAGCGGACAAGGAGTACAAATACTAAGGCTTCTCCGAGTAAGGGTGACATTCAACCCAATGCTCCTCAAACTCAAGAAGAGGTTTCACAGGTTGCTCTGAAGAATTTGAAAACCTTAATGGTCGGCGAAGTCTGCCAAGCTGATATAGAGATTTCTTCTCTTATGAGAGTCCCTAGGGAAACCTCTGCGTCTGGGGAGTTTAAATTTTGGTCCAACGACTTTGATGGACTTAAATTTCTGTATGATCATCTTAACGCCACCGAGGACGTTAACAAAGTGAAATCCATTGGTAGGCAGAAGATCACCCGGAATATAAGCTCTTATCTTATGATATGCACCATCCTTACTCGCATGTTGTTTGAATCCAACGATGATTTGGAGAAGACGGAGCTGAAACTGAAAGAAGATATTAACCGAATAAAATAAGCTCATAGGGCTCAATCAGATAAGCTTTCTAGCTTGGAAAAAGAACTAGTCGATGAGAGGAAAAACAAGGAGGCCCTTGAATCCGAGCATAAATTGACTTTATCCAAGGTTATCGAGGAGTTGAAGCAAATTAAGGCTTCTCATCAAGATTTTTTGGCTTCCAATACCAAGCTTACTGAGTCCCTTAGGAGGGCTCAGATTGAAGTTCTCTCTATTGGTGGTGAAGCTTTCGACAGGGCCAAAGACCAAGTTCTATGCCTCTATCCCGGGTTGGATTTATCCAAGGTAGATTGTTTCAAGGTGGTGCAGGATGGTCGCCTTATAGAGATGGATGAGGACCCGGATAAATCTCCTACTCCTATCAATAATGACGGGGATGAGCACCCAGATTACGATGGCGCGAATGGCACCTCGGCCGCTGATTGATTTTGAAGTTTCTCCCTGTTTTGATTAGACATCCTTTTGGATATGCTTTTGATGATTTTTCAATTTTTGTAAGGGAGTGTGGTGTTGTTCCCCCTTTTCCTTATGACTTTTCAGCCTCCGAGCTTTGTAATTCACAATATTTGAACAAAATTTGGTCCTTTTACGACATTCCTTTTGCTACTGTTATTTTCGTTTATCATCACTTTAATTCCTTTGCAAAATAGTATTGTACGTATATCTAGCCCCTCGGGAGCTAAGTTAGAATAACTTAAGGTGTTCGATTATAAAGTGATGGACATTATTTTGCCTTTTTTCTTTGCTTAGTTTGATTCCTAAGACTTTTTGATAGCTCATTACTAGGCTATCTATTAAAAAAAACCTTAACTATTGTTGCGGTGAGAATCGTGATGTCAAGCTATTGATTAACTTGTATCTTAATTCATTAAATTCACAACCGGACTTTGATTTATCCAAAGGAAAGGTTAAAGAAAGAAATACCTTTTGCGCGATGTAACAAAAACGCTAAGAGATTCGGGGATCGGGGGTTGGTTATGCCTATGATAGGTATTTCACATCCTAAACATCTGTAGTACTATACCGAAACCTTTTGTGTGTTTGTATGCTAAGTTATTTATGTTTTATGATATGGTTTGGGATCAAGGTACAAGTTAGGGTTTGAGGTAAAGACCTAGGGTTGATGTTTCTAAGTTTGCTCGCAAAGATATCGCATCTTCTGCCTACGTATTCTAACTAAGATAGAATCAGAGCAATCGTAGTTCACCTCACTAAGGGTGGATGAACACTTAATTATGATCAAGGTTCAAAGGGGAACACACATAACAATTCTTGTATAGAGTTTAACAAAACTCTCTATTCTAAGTTTTACTCTCAAAGGGGATTGACTTTGACAAAAGCCAGGACGGGAGTAAGTGGTCATGACAATGATCCTTACATAGAGTTAACAAACTCTATCTTAAAGTTCTAATTGAAAGGTACTCCTAACAAAGGGTAGGTCTCTAGACTTAAAGCAAAGTCTAATGGCTTGTAGGTTCTAACTTAACTAATTTAGGGTTCAAGATGACTTAACAAAGCCAGAGGGAGGGTAATGAGCTATCTA